GGGGGGGTTGCCAGGGTGAATGCTTTCACGCAGGCTTGGCGCCGAGCAGCTGTAAGTGATTGGGATGTGCTTGTGTCTACAGGACGGCTGCTCTCAGTGGGCACAGCTGCAAGCGGGAGCTGCCTGTGAGCGCTGAATGCTGTTCTCACCTCAAAGGGCTCCTTACCTGCTGCTTCTGGCCTTTTTTTGTGACTGCGGCGCCTGCCTCCGGAGAGAACACTAATCTGTTTAAACTGAGCGTGAAGGAGGAGCTGCGGTGCTTTTGGGGGCACGGGAGGAAGTGGCACACGTTGCCCCTGCGCTGCTTTGTGCTCAGGCTGAGGTGTGCTCCTGGCTGCGGGCGGCTCCCGTCCCCATCGCCTGCTTTCAGCACCCGTCTGATGCGAGGGTTGCTCCTCCTGCTTACCTGGCTGCTGCAAGCTGAGTATCCAACTGCTTTATCTCTGGACTTGAACAATAAAACCGGTTGGCCAATAATTGGATTCCTCGTTGTTTGAGTGAACGTCAGGGTTAGCGATTGCGGTGCCTGATGCTGTGGTGTGGGGGTTTTCCTGTGCCCTCAGTTTACCCCTTTCCAGCAGCAGTTATTTCTGTGGGCTGGCCTGGTGTGGATCCTCATTTATCCACACCTCCCTCCCAAGGCTGCAGGGCCTCCTTCCACCTCTTCCCTGCAGGACAGTGAGTGAGCTGTGCCTGTCCCCAGGGTAGTGCAGGGCTGCAGTGGGATGGGGAGGTGCGAGGGAGTGGGGGGTTCCAGCACCACCACCACACAGCGGCTGCTCCAACCCCAGCACCGTGGGCTCTGCTCACTCCTGTGACCTGGAGCCCTTTGCACACCCTGGGGCTGCAGACTGGGTGAGGGCAGCACCCTGGGGCCCAGTACCTGCTCAGGTTTGAGGAAGCTGATGGCTGTCCAGGGTGACTGAACACTTCCCCTTGCACCTCCACAGCTCCAGCAGCAGCCACCTTCCCCCATTCTGAAGCCGGGCACCAGGAGCTCTGCCGTGGGTACCAAACTTCCCCAAAGCTCCGCTTCCACACGAAAAGCAAACTGAGGGCTGGAGCTGCCCATCTGCCTGGATGTGGGCACACCAGGGCCTGCCACAGCTGCTGGAAACCTGCAGTTGTAGAGGTCCAGAGGAAATGGCTGCATTCACTTTCTTTGACAGGACCTGAAGCCCCTCTGCCTGCTGTGCCCAGATGTACACATCCAATACAAGTTGGTCTGGACTGGAGAAGGGCGCAGTCCCGGGTGCATCCCCTCTGCTGGTGCCCCCCAGCCCCTGCAGACGAGCACAGGCTGGGTTTATTCCTTGTGTCTGGCTGGCCCAGCCCTGCTGTGAAGGCTGCTGTTGGGACAGGGAAGCAGCAGCAGCCAAGGCGGCTCCAGCCCCATCCTGCACCCCCAGGGCAGCCCCAGCACCCCAGCAGTGTGCTGTAGGCTGGTGTAACACACAGACCCATCAATCGGGGGCCTGTGAGGGGTTTAGGAGCCCACTGCAAACTGCAGAGCTGCTGCGACCCTGGCAGCAGCTTTTGCTACATGGTGCCCAGTCCAGATGCTGCCCCCAGAGCCACACTGACACTGGGCCAATGTTCAGGAGTGCATTTCTGGTACCAGCACCAAGAAATGCAGAGAGCAAGACCAGCCCAGCTGTGCTCCTCATAAGTTACTGCATGAACTTTCTCTGGCAGCACAGAGCTCGTAACTCAAGACAGTTGCAGGGTAGAAAAATCCGGCACTGTGGCCTCAGTGACCTGATAAAATCCTGCCTTGGTTTGTCTGAAGTTACAGCCATTTCCTACAGTCACTTCTCTCTGCAAAAGGAGCAATTTCAGTATCACCACTGCTACCGTCTCCAATAACAAGCTGAAAATCGCAGTCCCTGTTAATGGATCGGGTTCCAGGAGCAGAGGCGATGAAGACACTCGGAGAACAAACGCTCGTCAACAAAAGCGAGTTTATTTCTTAGCAGACTCAAGTCAGTACAGCATCACTTCTAACATCAACGCGTCCCAGGTCAAACTGAACAGATGCAGTCACTCGTGGTACCAAGAGGTGCTTTGTTCTCCTGCCCCGTGCACTCGCTCTGGCAGTGCTTCTGGTCATTTCGGTGACCAGAACTTACTCTGCTTTCTGCTACATTCTCATTCTGTTTCTTTCTGCATCATCCAATGACAATTACTGTGGTGTGGTTACACCTTGTGCACATCAGCATTTCCAGTAGGAGGAATACAGACATTAAAATATCAGGGTGTCCACGCAAGGACAGCTGAATAAATTTAATCCAGACATTATAAATGCGATGCTAGAAGTGTTAAAACCCCACCTGTCTCTCCTGAGCCACATAATACCAACATTTTGTATCAGGGAATAAGTTACTTGTGTTCCGTTCAGGTTAAGATCTGCAGGTGAACACCAAGTATTAAGAGCTGTCAAGAATGCAGACGTAAACCGAGAAGTCTAAAATATGACAACCAAATTTCAAACCAAACAAGTCAAAGAGGAACTTTAAGAAAACCTAAGTTTCAGAACTTTGTGATACCTCTTCCAATTCTAAAGTGAGGGTATTAAAAACAGCGCTCATCATTTCAGCTGCTGCACAGCTTTTGGAAGGACAGTCCTGTGTGCGTGTCGTATTTTGATTATGTTTAAATACTTTAAAACAGGCGCTCTTTCCTTCCCCCCAGCATGCCCAAATGATTTGAACACATTCAGTACATTGCACGGTTTCACACCAGCAATTTTGTCATAGCAGTAATTTATCAGAACCTGTTACATCTCCTTCACAAACTTACATTCTAAAATCTCAAATTCATAAATACTTATATTTTAAATATTTAGTTTTACATGAATACTGGGTATCCTTAGCAATTTTTTGCCTTCTGTTTCCAGGTATTAGTTTGATAAGGAAACCATTTTTGCACCACAATCTGATCCAATACTGACTGGACATCCCATTAGACTGCAGTCTTTAAGAATCATTATTTTAAAACCTCCTTCTTAAAGTACAACTAAAAGAAGTTATGGGGAGAGTTGTACACAGGGTTCACCTGCAGAAGTTAAATAACACCTTGACTATTAATTAATTAATCTGATTAAGTTAACATTCACCAGTTTGGCTTTACAATATTCAGACACTGCTTGTCATGTTAACAGTTTACGTAGAACCCAAGAGCCCTTAAAGCAAATTCAACTTCTCATCAAGACACAGCTTTAAATAGCAATAGCAGTAGCTCGAACTTCACGGATCACCAAAAGAATCAGCACGTCACCTCATA